ACAACAACAACAACATTCTGTTTTGTGTACATTCAGGTAACTCTTTTTTTAAAAAAAAAAAATCATCCCTTTCTTACCTAGAAAAAAAATTCCTCCTTCTTACTTGTCTGTTGTTGTTAGTTGCTATTGAGTCTATTCTGATTTTGGCTTACAATGACCTCATGTGTGCAGAGTAGAACTGCTCCATACGGTTTTCAAGGCTTTCAGAAACAGAATGTCAATCCTGTCCTCCAAGGCCCATCTGGGTGGGTTCACACTTCCAACCTTTTGGTTAGTAATCAAGTCCTTACATTAAATATTTGTACCGCCCAGGGATTCCTTCTAGCATAATCTCTTTGTCTGAGCTTTTAAGACCCTCTTTCCCACCTTCATTCTGCTTTTAAAAAATTCGAGCTATTACTGTCTGTCAATACCACTATACATTTTTTTTACATCTTTAGAACACAAATATTAAAAATTTCAAGTTGCATCATCTATTGAAAAATAAATAAATTTTTCTGTTCACCAAAAGGTAGCAATGGCTTCATGGTTAAAACTGTAATTATATGGAGCAGGATTAATAGATAGGCTTGCAGGTAATATGTAGCATCCCTGAAGTACTATGCCCAGTTTGATATATATGTGTATTTTTCAGGAGTATAAATACACATATTCATATGTGTATTTTTCAGGTATGGCATTAGACCTGTGTGTCTAACTTCAGGAGTGAGGATGAGAATCAAGGTCAGCAGCTTAGACCAAATTTGATTCCTGTGAGGTGGAGGTCAGACATACCTCCACCCTCCAGCCTTATTTACCAATTCTGACGCTAGCTATCCCTCCTATGGTACTCTCTACTTCTCTGATGAGTTTGATAATTTGTTGCAGTGGCCACACAGAACTGATAGAACATACTCAAAATTATGGGGTTTATTAGAGAAGTAAGAGGTTACAGTTCAGGATCAGAATCAATTTGGAAGTAACAGGAACAACTCAAGATAGGGTTTTTCGATCAGGACAGCATCTCAGCTGTGCCCACAGGCAGGCCTCTCAGCCCTCACCTCTTGGTCCTCAGCCTGGCCTCTAGCCTGCTCGGACCAATGTCATAAAGCTCTAACTTTACAAGAAGTCCATGGAGGTACCCTACTCTACCCAGAAGCCTCCTGCCCAAAGGTGCTCACTTCTCTTGGTACTTGGGCTCCAGCGAGCCTCTTTTGCTGGTCCAATGCCACTGCCAACTCAAGCTGTCGACATGGTTGCTCTCTGTCTCCTGGCTCTAGGAGGCTCTCAGCTGAATCTATAGGACATGCTGTGCTCTTGGCTCTTGGTAGTAGTATGTCCCCCTACAAAGGCTCCATGTACCTAATTTACATGGTGCCATCTTCACAAGGGCTCCATGCACCCTGTTTACATGTCTCACCCACTCATTTGTGGATATTAAAAGACCATGGTTATCAGGGCCATGTTATAGTAATTCACTGTGCTACACAGTGGAGGACATTTCATAGTTCTTACAGATTCTCAAAGGGGTCTATGACTTTAATTAATAAGCTTCTTAATTGCTAGTTCTTAGCTAATCCTTTCTCTCTTTCTTTGTTACTCTAAAATACTCAGTATATGCAATTTTGCCAACACCATAAATGTAGGCTTGTTGTGTTGTTGTTATGTGCCGTCGAGTCGGACCTGAGTCATAGCGACCCCTCCTTGGGTTTCCGAGGAAGTATCACTATGGAAGTAGATTGCCCCATCTTCCTTCCGAGGAGTGGCTGGTGGGTTTGAACCGCCAGCCTTCTGGTTAACAGTCAAGTGCCTTAGGCACTATGCTACCAGTGCTCCCAAATGTTATGTTATGTTGGCTTAATCCCAATGAAATATATACATAAATATTGTTAAAATGTGTGATCTCTGTTAGAGGCCAGAGGTTATATTATAAGCATCTTTATACTTCCAGTGTATCACATAGTTAATGGTTCTAATAAATGTAGATATGTATACTTATCAGATTCATGATACATACATTTAATGTTTGTAAATCAAATACTAGACTAAATGTACTGGATAAGTTTGCAGCTGAAAGAAAATTTCTTTGGTAATCTGTATGTAGTCAGAAAGGTAATTTTGTATTTTGGGGAGTGCCCTGACTAAGTCTGGTAGCAATTTTTTAAAAGTCTGTTTAGTTTTTCTCTCAGGTTCTGATGAGTCAATGTCTGGAGGGGTAGAGATTGTTGCATCAGAATGACATTTTCTTTTCACTTCGTTAGGTAATTTCAAAAAATGTAAACAACTTCTTCATAAAGCTGTAGAATGTGGAGCAGTACCAATAGAAATGTTGGAAATTGCCATACAGAACTTAAACCTCCAAAAAAAGCAACTGCTTGCAGAGGAAGAAAAGAAGAATTTGTCAGGTAAACATGTTAATGTGCATTAATATTTTTCTGTGATAGTGCTGCAAATAAGGATTATATTTTATAGAAGACTATCATTTATGTAAAATGCTCAGTATTTAAAGTTCAATTTCAGTTGTAAAGGAGATAAGTCTTCTAGAAGTAATTTACCTCTTGCAAATCCAACTCCAATTGGGAGCACATTAAAAACAACTTGATTAACTAAGAGAATGACGTTTTGCTTTTAGAAATAGAGAATTGTCAATTACCCAAGGTAAACTTACTTTAATTAAAGAGAATTTGAAGTGATAGTGAATTATCTTGAAAACAATATTTATTTTGAATTGGCTTTTTAAATACTTACTTGTGAGATTTTGTATCTACATATCTATATATCCTTATGTCCTTATAAATTTAACTACAATTTCAAAACTTTTACAGCATCTACAATATTAACTGCCCAAGAATCATTCTCCAATTCCCTTGGACATTTACAGAATAGGAATATCAATTGTGATCCCAGAGGACTGGCTACTAAGCCCAGATTTTTGTATGGGTAAGGAAATGGAATCAGTGTTTCAAATGCACATTATACATATATACTTATATGTATACATACATACATGGTTTTATGTAGCAGTGATAATAGTGTTTATCAGTAGAGTGGAAAAAAATATGTTAATGTTCTTTGATAAATTGGAGGGTTTTTGTTTTTTTCTGTTTAGAGAGAACATACCCCCTCAAGATGCAGAAATAGCTCATCAAAATCCTATGAAACAAACTAACAAAGCTAAACGGGTAGGTTATTTTCAATTCACCTTGATTAAAGTGGTGGTGGTGGTGGTGGTGGTGGTGAGGGTGAGGTCTTTGTTTATCTTCTATTTGGTTACTTAATCTTTTTAAAACATTTTTAGTCATGCCCATTTGGAAGAGTCCCAGTTAACCTTCTAAATAGCCCAGATTATCATGTGAAGACAAATGGTTCAGTTGTACCAAGTTTTACAAAAAGGTATGCTTAAATTTTCATTTTTTAATTTATTTTCAGTACTTGGCGATTGATGGCAGAATGGTCTTAAAGTCTATTACTGATTCCTATTAATTATGATTACATTTCATTCACTATTAAAAGCTACAGAGTCTAAATGCTATCAGGAGCAAAGGAGTGAGGGGATACTGATTTTATTTTGCTTTTTCACTTATTTAAAATACTCATTAAAGGAACTATTTTAAAAATTAATAAACATAGAGGACAAATTACTAAGTCAACATGAAGCTTAAAAAATTAGACAAGCGTGCCTAGGGTAAGTACTCCTGATGTTTGAGAGTTTCTCACTTAGGGGTAGCTCTCTGGTAGGAGTTTCTTCCTACTGTGTATGTGAGTCTCCATAGCAGAGTTCAAGGGAGAGCTGGAAACACTTTTCCTTTTTCAGCTAGCTCAGGGAGAAAAACAGCTGTCACTGGGAAAGATAATTTATTCATCCCTTTGCTTTGGGAGCTTCGTGCTTCAAGACACAAGACAAGGTGGATAGAGATGAATTATTATTCATCACATGTAATGTGCTCCCCTTCCCCGGGTTTGGATGTTTTTCAGTTTAAAAGAAAAGGGAATGTATTATTCTAGCTTAGTTTAGGGAGAGAGCTTTTCTTGTCTAGTCTTAACCCTAACCACTATTTTTAACTTGGTTTTTACTAGAAAATCTTCCTTACATTCCAGAGAATCATTTTTTTTTTTTTCCAGAGAATCATTTTGAAATTAGTTAGAAACACAGCTGATTTTTTTAAGTTGATATCTTTTGTTATCAAATTACTTTTTTATGTAGGGCTTGACTAAATATCAATAATACATAAGCATTTTGGTTGTCAAGGTTAAACCCAAAAACTTTATATCTTGGTGGTGAAATATTTTTGAAAAAGATAGCAATAATGGTGATACAACATGAAAAATATCATCAGTGTCCCTGAGCTGTAAATGAGGAAGTTGTTATGTTGGTGAATGCCCTGGTGTATATGTTTTCACCACAATAAAATAACAATAATAAGAGACCTTATATCTTGCTCATCTCTATTTTAAATACTTAGTTGATGAATAAAAGAGAATATCTCCCATTCCAAACAAAAATTAGTCTTTTTCCAGGTACCTGTTGTCATCACATTTTGCTAGGCATCGTGGGAGCTACAAAAGGGTTTGTATCTGAAATGGTGTGTGTGTGTGTATGTGTGTGTGTGAGAGAGAGAGAGAGAGATTTGAGTGAAAGTTTACAGAGAACATTCATTTTCTTTCTTTTTTTTTTAAATTGTGATTTGGGTGAAGGTTTACAGAGCAAATTCACTTTCCATACAGCGGTTCACATATACTTTGTCTCATGACATTGACTGTAATTTCCTATAGTGCAACAGCTCTCTTCCCACTTCTTCCCCATAGTTACCTCTTCCCTGTGTCCTTCCCTCCATGCACTCCTGCCCACCAACCTATCTCCCTGTGTATACACAGTCTTTTTATTCTCCCATGATTGATCTCTCCAAGGAGTATATCTACCTAATGTAAATGTTCAGCTCATGTGCCTATCTTTTGTTTGGCTGGAAACCACAGGACTGGGTTCAATTCCAGACCTGAAGGGCAGCTAGGGACCATAGTCTCAGGGATTCCACCAGGCTCTGTTAGATCAACAAACCTGGCCTCTTTTTTTTTTTATGATTTTGAGTTTTGTTCTACATTGTTCTTCAACTCTATCCAGGATCTCCTACAGAGATCCCCTTCTGAGTGGTTGACATTGGTAGATGGACACCATCTAGTTCTTCTGGTCTTATAGTCGTGTAGGCTGAGGATTTCATGGTGCACTAGTCCTTTGAACTAATTGTTTCCATGCGTCTTTGGTTTTCTTCATTCTTCTTTGTCCTGGAGAAGAAGAGACCCATTGTTGCATCTGAATGGCCACTTGTAAGCTCTGAGATGTATTTTTACCTACATACCACTATCCTTTTTTCCTTCTACCACATCATGCCTTAACTCTAGGTGTTACTTATATAATAAAGAAGTAAGCAATCATTCATCTCTTTATTTTACTACTTTTCTCATCACCCATTGTCTAATATTTTAGCATACTCATATTTGTACTAAAATTGTGTTGTTTTTAAAAAAATTGTGTGTGTGTGAGAGAGAGAGATTTGGGTGAAAGTTTACAGAGTGAATTCATTTTCTGTACAATAGTTCATACACATTTTGTTTCATGATGTTGATTGCAGTCCCTGTAATGTAACAGCTCTCTTCCTACTTCCTCCCTGCGGTTACCTTTTACCTGTATCCACCTTTCCTATGCATTCCTGCCCTCTGTGCTCTCTCTCTGTGCAAATACTGACATTCAGATCTCCAATAGTTGACTATTCTAAAGAGTGTAACTACCTGGTATAAATGTTCATAGTATATGCTTGTCTATTGTTTGGCTTCCACCTGTCTATTATTTGGCTTGAAGCCATGGGAGTGAGTATAATTCCAGGTCCAAAAGGTGACTAGAGCCATAGTCTCAGGGGTTTTACCAGTCTCTCTCAGACTAGTAAGCCTGGTCTTTTTATGATTTTGAGTTTTGTTCCACATTTTTCTTCCAATCTATCCAAGATCTCCTATTTTGATCCCTTTATGAGTTGTTTAGAGTGGTAGCCGTGTGCCATCTAGTTTTTCTGGTCTCAGGGTCCTGTAGGCTGAGGTTTATATGTCCACTAGTCCTTTGAACTAATTGTTTTCATGCATCTTTGGTTTTCTTCTTTCTTCTTTGCTCCAAATGAAGAGAGACCAGTTGTTGCATTTAGATGGCCACTTGCAAACTTTTAAGAGCCAAGTCACTACTCATCAAAGTAGAATGTAGAACACTGCTTTTGTGTAGTATGTTAGGCCAATTTGAGCTTGATGTCCCTGTGAGAAAATGTGATTTAAGAAAGTATTTTCAACTAAACCAAAGTGTGTATTGTTAAAAATCCAACTTTAAAATTAAATTTTTCCATTATTAAAAAAATTAATATATTGAAAGGCTCAATTTTAAATTAAGTGCTTTGTTTTGTGGGTAATAGACAGACGTCTGGATCAGAATGCAGAGATTTGAGTGTACCTGGATCTAAGTCAAGTGGAAATGATTCCTGTGAATTGAAAAATTTTAAGGTATTTCAATTTTTAAACAATTATATGGAGCAGGGGTTCCTAATCCAGGCTACATGAAACTTTTGTGAGGGAAGGCTCCATAGTTGGTAGGATATCTCCATAGGGTTCTTGCTGCCCTAGGAGATACAGGGCCATCAATGGGAAATGGTATAGAAGTCCTAGATAGTTTCTCTAAGATTAAGATGGTAAAGCAGTTATTATATATATTTCTGAGCAGATTAGTTAGCCTAGATTTGGTAATAGTTGGGGGGGCCTCACCACCAGGTTTTGTTTGTGTGTTTAATCATCTAATTCTATCAAGGTATCTTAGGTAAAAATATGATAGTAAATTGTGATGGTTTAGGTTTAGAGTCAGGACTTAGGTAATGAATCCGGACCTTCTGATATAACAGAGCACCTTTATTTGAACTTTCAAGGCAGGAAACAAAAGTAGTCCCTGGAGCATTTTGATTTTTAAGGGTTATAATTTTATATTGTACTTGAGTTAATCCCATGGCATTATGATGTGGGTCTTTTATAGTCTCTGTGATATCATTCTCTCTCTGATGATCTATGCTTTAAAATACTTACATACATATTCATTTTGACTAATGTCTTTTTTTTTTTTTTTTTGATAAAATTATAGTAAAAAAAAACCTTAAATTTTTTTTCATGTCATAAGGCAAGTGCTATATTTAATTCAAACTTTCTCTTTTTAAGTAAATATATTTTAGCAGTTGATTAGTAAGTCCATTGAAAGTACATTGGCCAAATTTATGGTTATGCCTTGTCATTGGTGTAATCAATAATTCAAGAATTTAATCTTTGCTATGTGTTTGTGAGTTGACATGTGATTATACTACATAATTTTCCCAGCAACCTTTTCACTCTGGTGAAACTTGAGTGTATTGAATACTAAGAAATTATTACTACTACTGTTTATCTTACTCTTTTCATGTAGTCTGTTCAAAATATTCAGTCCAAGGAACCTCTGCTGTCAGATGAGAAAAGTTCTGAGCTTCCTACTGATTCAGTAACTCTGAAGAATAAGACTGAATCAAGTCTTCTAACTAAATTAGAAGGTAAGAACAATAGATAGGCTTCTTTAATCAAGAAAACAACATTTTTGTTTGTGGAAGCAGATAAGCCACCTAAGAACTGTGTTGTATAAATGTGTCTTTGTTTCTTTACCTTTGTATTTCAGTTGAATTATATAGTGTATGAAAAAATATCCTGTAGCAAAGGAAGTTTATTTGCCTAAAACTAGCATGAAGAAGGGAGAGTACAATGAATGGAGCTGAGTTGTTTTTCTTAGTTAACTTGATGGATAATCTTTCTGGATTATACAATATAGAAGCTCTATTTATATGAAAACCTACTGTTTCCTTTTTTACCAAACATTTGATTTTCTACCAGGTGAATATTATGATAAATGCTCTGTTGTTCTGTGCTGTGGAGTCGGACCCAATTCATAGCTACCCCCTCCTTGGGTTTCCGAGGCTGTGTCACCATGGAAGTAGATTGCCCATCCTTCCTTCTGGGAGTGGCTGGTGGGTTTGAACCACCAGCCTTCTGGTTAGAAGCCAAGTGCCTTAGGTGTTCTGTTGTTATTATGTGCCGTCGAGTTGGACCTGACTCATAGCGACCCCTCCTTGGGTTTCTGAGGCAGTATCACTGCGGAAGTAGATTGCTCCATCTTCCTTCCGAGGAGTGGCTGGTGGGTTTGAACTGCCGGCCTTCTGGTTAGCAGTCAAGTGCCTTAGCCACTATGCTACCAGAGCTCCCTTAGGTGTTCTACAGTTATATAAATGAATGAGACAGGGTCCCAAGGAGGTTGCAATCCAATGTGGGAGATGGGGTAATAAGTATGGTACTGAGTAGAATAGAGAGTGACATGAAAGCCGCGTAAATAAATAAAATGTGATGAGAATTCAGAAGAACGAGAAATTTGGGCAAATGATTAGGTTTAGGGAAAATAAGAAAATATTTTGTAGAAGAGATGAAATATGAAGAACTGTTAGGATTTAAATAGGGAGAAATAGTAGTAATAAGAGTATTTGTAACAGAAAGACTAAATAAGCACAAGAATAAAATGTTTTAGGAACAAGATAGCCCAGTGACAATGAAACCTGTACAGAAGTGAGAAATAATACTAGGCGGACTCTGACTGGAAGACTTACTTTTTTAAAATTTTTTCATTTTTATTGTCATTTGGGTGGAAGGTGACAGAGCCAATTCATTTTCCATATAGCAGTTCATGCACATTTATTTCATGACATTGACTGCAATTCCCCACAGTGTAACAGCTCTCTTCCCACTTCCTCTCTGTAATCACCTCTTCCCTGGGTCCTTCCCTCCCAGGCACTCCCACTCCCTGACCTGTCTCCCTGTGCAAACACTGCCCTTCTATTCACCCCCAATTGATCCCTCCAAGGAGTGTATCTACCTGGTGTAAATATTCATCCTGTATGCCTGTGTGTTGTTTGGCAGGAAGCCACAGGAGTAAGTTCATTTCCAGACTTAAAGGGTAACTGGGGGCCATAGTTGCAGGGTCTCAAGGGTCTCACCAAGCTCTATTAGACCAGCAAATCTGTTTTTTTTTTTCCGCCCCCTCCATGTGGAAATCCAGTTGACCTAGTAGTATTTATTGAAAAAATCCTTATTTCCCACTGCTATTGTTGGAAATTATTAGGTAATGCTGTATATCGTATCTAGTTTGGAATTCTTCATTCAGTGGTTGTCGGATTTTTTGTTTGTTTTGTCTTTGTGCTTATACAGTATGAATTTCTACAGTCTTTCAACTTGTTTGCCTTCAAACCTGTTTTGGCTATGCTAGGCCTTTTGCATATCCATATAAATAGAGTATTTTTGTCAGTTTCCAGTGAAAAATGGAATCTTGATTGAGATCTAAATGCATCTGTAAAACAATTGGGAAGAACTGATATCTTTATAATATGAAAATAGCATATCCCTTCATTTAAGTAGTCTTTAAAACATTGGGCATGGTAGTCTGTGTAGAGGTCTTATACCTCTTTTGTGAGATTTATTCCTAGATACTGATTTTTTGATGCTGTGATAAGTAGTATTCCCTTTCTCCCTTTATGTGGCCTCTACTTGTTTGTTGCTGGTCTATACAAATATGATTGATTTTTGGATATAGATCTCAGACACAGTGGCATTACTAAATTCACTGATTTAATTCTAATACTTCTCCTATAGGTTCTTTAGATTTTTCTCTGTATATAGTCATGTTGTTTGAGAGTAATATAACTTTTTTGTTTTGCTTTGCTATCCTACTGTCTTTAATTTCTTTATCATATTGTACTTGATAAGACCTCCGGTATAATGGTGAACAAAAGGAATGATAGGTGGCATTGTATTTGTCTCACTCCTTCTTTTAAGGAGAAAGCTTTCAATATTCTACCCTAGTATGAAGATGCTCTGGATATTTTATTTTTGTTGCTACTCTTTATTGAGTGGGTTCTATTTTTCTTTTTATTAATTCTAGATTACTAAGGTGTTTTTGTTTTGTGACTGGATGGTGAATTTTATCAAATGATTTTTTGCATTTATTGAGTTGAGCATATATTTCTTTTGTATTCTGTTATGCTTAAATATATTGGTTTTTAAATGTTAAACCAACTTTGTATTTAGAAATAAACCCAACTTTATTGTAATATATTATCTATTTTTTATATCACTTGCTGATATTTGTTTAGAATTTTTACATCTATGTTCAAAATAGATGAGCAGATATTCATAGAATATTAAATATGCTATTGAGCCTCTTGTTCATAGACACATAGGAATAAATTATAAGCTAATATAGGGTAAAAGCTTTTACTTTTGTGGTTGTTAACTGATAAATACTGGAGGCATTTAAATCCAGAATGATCTCTAACAAAGCTCTAGGTAGGAATATTAGGAAGATGTCTGTATTGCAGATTTAAAAATTGCCTTGCTAAAGGCAAATTGCCAGCATTTGGCCTAAGGCTTTTAGTTTTTCTTAGTGTTTTAGAGCACTTCGTAACATGTTCTATAGTTTAGGCTTCATTTTGTTGTTATCAAATATTATTATTCACTTTTAATAACAACAATACAGTTTCAGAAACTAAAGAGCCTCAAGAACAAAATGCTCCAGAAAATAACCAGAAGCAATGGAAATCTAAGAGAAAGCCAGAATGTGTAAACCAAACTCCTGCTGCATCTTCATCTCAGTGGCAGATTCCAGAGGTAACCCGAAAGGATACAGAGGTAACTTTTTTCTAAAAAAATATAACATTGTCATTATTTAAAGTGCTTCCAAAGTGTGATGGTCATATTAAGTATGTTTTCCTCTTTTATTAAGTGTTTCTGCACCATATTTAGTAGAATAGTTTATTTTTTTTAAAGATTTTTTTACATTTCACCAAACCATAAAATCAATAGCAGTCATAGGGTCAGTAACAGTATATGGTAAATTGGTTTCTTTTTTTTTCCCCAAGTGTAAACAAATCAAAAGCATATGAATTGAACTTCCCTTAAAATAAACAGGATTTTTAAATTGAGGGAAGGGTGGGAATGCATTTGGAAATACATATTTTTGGTTTTAATGACTCAGAAACACAGGAATGAGCGAAAGCTTTTTCTTTTTTTTCCCCAACTTTTTTTTGTCTGTGTGATTTGGCCAAAAGTTTACAGAGCAAATTAATTTTCCATTCACTAGTTCATACACATTTTGTTTCATGAGAATTGATTGCAGTCCCCATAATGTAACAGCTCTCGTCCCACTTCCTCCCTGTGGTTATTTGTTCCCTGTGTCCTTCTTTCTTATGCATTTCTGCCCTCTGACCTATCTCCCTGTGCAAATACTACCCTTTATTTCTCCTGTGGTTGATTGTGTACGTACCTGGTATAAATGCACATCTTACATGCCTGTCTATTGAGTTCAATTCCAGGCTGGAAGGGTGAATAGGAGCCATACTCTCAGGAGTCTCACCAGTCTCTATCAGACCAGTAAGCCTAGTCTTGTTATGATTCTGAGTTTTATTCCACATTTTTCTCCCACTCTATCCAGGATCTCCTGTACTGATCCTTTTCTGAGTGGTTGACAGTGGTAGTCGGGTACCTTCTAGTTCTTCTGGTTCCAGGGTCATGTAGGCTGAGGTTTGCATGGACCATTAGTCCCTTGGATTAATTGTTTCCATGTGTCTTTGGTTTTTTTCAATCTTTGCTCAAGATGAGGACAGACCACTTGTTGCATTTATTTATTTAATTTTAAAATTTTTTTACAGTGTTCCCTCCTCTCCCATCCCTGGTAACCAACAAAGACAGTTTCCTTCCATATATAAACCTTTCCTTGACTTTTTACAATAATGAACTAATACAGTATTTGTCCTTCTGTGATCAAGTTATTTCACTTAGCATAATGTCCTCCAAGTTTATCCACGTCGTGCAGCGTTTTACAGATTCTACATTATTATTTATGTTGCATAGTATTCCATAGTTTGTATGTTCCATGGTTTGGTTATCCATTCTTCTGTTGAGGGGCACTTAGGTTGTTTCCATCTTTTTGCAATTGTAAATAGTGCTGTGATGAACATGGGTGTGCATATATCTTTCTTATTCTGGATCTCACTTCCTTAGGATATATACTTAGTTATGGGATTGTTGGATCAAATGGTATTTCTAATTCCAACTTTTTAAGGAATCGCTATACTGCTTTCCACAGTGGTTGTATCATTTTACAGTCCCATCGACAGTGTATGAGAGTCTCAATCTCTCCACATCCTCGTCAGCATTTGTTATTTTCTGCCTTATTGAACTTTGCCACTAGTGCTGGGGCAAGATGGTATCTCATTATTGTTTTGATTTGCATCTCTCTAATGGCTAATGATCATGAATATTTTTTCCTGTGTTTGTTGGTAGCCTGAATATCTTTGGTGAAGTGTCTATTCATATATTCTGCCCATTTTTTTAAGTAGATTGTTTGTCTTTTTGTTGTTGAGGTGTTGGGGTTTTTTATACATTTTAGAGATAAATAAATCCCTGTCAGATATGTCATTGCTGAATATTTTTCCCAATCTGTAGGTTCTCTTTTAAAGATGTCTTTTGAAGCACATGAAAATTTAATTTTAGAAAGTCCCATTCAGGTAGTTTATCTTCCATTATTTGTGCATTTTGGGTTACGCTTGACAGTCTGTGTATGCCATAAATTAAACCAAAAAACCAAACTCACTGCCATCGAATCGGTTACGATAGAGAGACCCTCTTTGAGTTTCTGAGGCAGTAAATCTTTACAGAAGTAAATTGCCCAGTTTTCCTTCCGTGGAGTGACAAGTGGATTTGAACCACGAACCTTCTGGTTAGCAGTCAAATGCCTTAGTCACTATGCCACCAGAGCTCCTTATGCCATTAATTAGGGCCCCTAAATTTACCCCTATTTTTTCCTTAAGGAATTTTATAGTTTTAGGCTTCACATTTAAATCTTTGATCTATCTGGAGTTAGTTTTTATGTATGGTGTGAAAACTGGATCTTGTTTAATTTTTCTGCAAATGGATATCAAGTTTTGCCAGCACCATTTATCAGAGAGACCATCTCTTCCCCATGTAAGAGATTTCAGCCCTTTGTCAAAAATCAGCTGACCATAGCTCGATGGATCTATTTCTGGATTCTCAATTCTGTTCCACTGGTCTGTGTGTCTGTCATTGTACCAATACCAGGCTGTTGTGAGTACTGTACTCTTGGGTTTCTGAGGCTATATCACTACGGAAGTAGATTGCCCAACCTTCCTTCCAAGAAGTGGCTAGTGGGTTTCAATAGCCAGCCTCTGGTTAGCAGTCAAATACCTTAGGCACTATGCCACCAGAGCTCCTAGTACTTCATAGTATCCTTATATTATCCTTTTAATTTCTGTTGGTTCTGTTGTGATGTCACCCAGTTCACTTCTTATTCATGTCATTTGTATTCTCTCCCTCTTTTCCTTTGTTAAGTTTGCCAATTTTATTAATCTTTTCAAAAACCAACTTCTACTCTTGTTGATTGTTTTCTATTACTATTTTCTGTTTCATTTATTTCTGCTTGAATCTTTATTGTTTCTTTTCTTCTGGTGACTGTAGGCTTTTTATGCTGCTCTTTTTCTACTTTTTGGAGATATTGAGTTAAGGTGTTGATTTTGGCTCTTTTTTGATGTGTGCGTTTATTGCTACAAATTGGCCTCTGATCACTGCTTTTGCTGTTTCCCAAAGATTTTGGTATGTTGAGTTTTCATTCTTGTTTGATTCAAGGAATTTTTGAATTTCAATTTTGATTTCTTCTGTTACTCAGTCATTCTCAGGGAGGGTATTGTTCAGTTTCCATGGGTTTGCTCTTTTTCCATTGATCTTCCTATTGTTGATTTCTAATTTTATAGCATTGTGATCTGAGAAGATGCTTTGCAGTATTTCAATATTTTTAAATTTATTAAGGCTTGCTTTGTACCCTAACATCTGATTTGTTGTTGTTGTTGTTATTTGCCATTGAGTCGGCCCCGACTCATAGCAACCCCTCCTTGGGTTTCCGAGGCAGTATCACTACGGAAGTAGGAATGCCCAA